TTCTTCAGCGATTTGGACTTGCCAAAATCCTGATTTCATATCAAATTTGGAAAAGACTACTGCATCGCGGAGGCGATCTAAAAGATCTTTTTTGTTCGGAACTGGATACCTTATCCATTGTAAGGCTTCATTGAGAGGTTTGTAATTGGTCACAAGTCTTGGAGTACCTCTCCCAATTTTGGCATTTTTATTTACATAAAAAGCAGTACAACTCCAAGGAGATTTATTGGGACGAATAAGGTTTTTCTGGAGAAGAGTATTGATCTCTGTTTTGCAGAGTTTCATGTACTCTTTTTTCATTTGACTAGGGCGAGCGCGAGTGGGAATTTTCCGCTCATCATAACCTGGTTCATAAGGCAACGAAACAATATGTTTCTTTCGATTCCAAAAAGCGTTGGGAAGATCACTGCAAATTTCAGTTTGAAATTCTTGTTCAAGGATTTTAATTTTTTGTTGAAAAGAGGATTGACTAATTCGTTGTTCTGTAGTAAGAAAACTAATTTCTTTTTGTAAGAAATTAATTTGCTTTTATTTGAAATTTACTAAGTCCTTAATTTGATCAAGTTCCTTAGTGTAAGGCTGTGTGATAAACTCAAAAATAATCGGTTGATTATTCAGGTTTGTATGAATGGCAATAGAATCTATTTTGAGAATTGGCATCAAAAGACACAGGAAAGGAGTACCAAGAATTATGGCTTGAGACATGTTTTTAATAAGAACAAAAGAAGTTGGAAGACATAATCCTTGATTACAAATTAAAACTTCTAGAAGTTTATATTGGATATATAGAGTATTACCACTTGCACTTGTGAGTGATTGCATAGTTTTATGAAAATATTTGGTTGGATTAAGTCCTTCCTAAATACAATTCATATCAGCACCACTATCAACAAGGGCAATGGCATCTTTGATGATAAAATCAGGTTTTATCATGAAAGTAATTCGGATATACCATTTCTGGAAAGTAACAGAGTTCATAAGCATTAAATAATCTGTTGTTGTCGCTTCTGGAGGATTTTTAGAAGTAGATTCAACGATATTTTTATCTTTCTGGAGTTTCCCATTAATCTTTTTAATTTCAGCATTAATGGCATTGTTAGAATTCTGTAAATGTTTGACTTCTAATTTTAAAGCATTTACTTCCATTGTCAGATCCTGAATAGAGATAGGCTTTTCTTCTGTTTGAATGTTTTGGAGTCAGTTAAAAACTTCTTTCATGGTATAATGTTGTGGAGGAAGAATTTCTTCCTTCTTCTGTTGCTGTAAGCATAGTTCTAAGAATTTTAATTTCATTTCTGGATTAGAAATCTGATCAGCAAAATTAATTATTTTGTGTTCATCTTCTGTCAGAACATTGATACTGGGTCCTTAAATATTAAGTCCATTCATTTCAATTATTGCTTTCCAATAATTGACTTCATCTGAAATTTGATTAATGTTATTTTTACAATCACAAATTTCGGGATTATCTTCTGACGTATCGGAAGTATCTGAATATAAGGCATTGATTTCATCTTCATTGTCAGAAAAGGTGTCAGAATCTGAAAGCATTTGAAGGATTTGTTGCTTCAAATTATCATCTACAGATAGTTCATTAAGTTTATGCTGTATCTTGGATTTACAACGATTGGCATAATGTCCTACCTGTCCACACTTATAGCATTTAATAGTGGATTTGGATGATTTCTTTCTGTAAGGTTTGGATTGCTTCTTATAAGGTGTAGCTTGCTGAGTTTGTGGCTTAGCATACTTATATTTTATGGATTTTTTAGGATAAGATTTGGGTTTTGCTACTTTTTTATGTTTTCTAGATTTGGGATATTGTAAATTATCTCCATAGGCGAATTGTTCACAAAACTCACCTATTTCTTTTCGGCTAGTCAGATGTTGCTGTTTCATTTGTTGCTGAAGTTTGAGCTCATTACATAGAGCAAGCCCTTCATCAGTAATTATAGCAATTAGTTGACCATAGGTATATCTATAATAAGGTATAGACATCCTACGTAATTTCTTCCTAACTCTTTCAGCAAAAAGAGTGGGGAGGCCATCAATAAACTTGGCCTTCCAATGTTCAGAACTAGCATCTGTACGCCGATGAACTTTCATCATGAATTAAGACAAATTTCCAACACTTTCTGAATCAGAATTGGTAATCAAAAGCATGGATTACATGAAAGAGCAATTTCTCCAATCTCTCAACCGTGATGACATCAGCATGAAGTCAGGTGCCAGTCATGAAGAGGAAGGCCATCCTGATCCTTACAATGATGATAATGAGTTTAACGTGCTAGCTGGCAAAGCTCAAGAACCAGATGATGCTGATCCCAATCTTGGAGATTTTTGGAATTCTCTCACAGGATTGATTGCCGACAAACTTAGTCAAGAAAAGGACAAAAAGGAGAAAGGAAAAGCAGAATGATGTCCCTTGATTCTCCACTTATCTAGACGCACGATCCAGCTCCACAAGACGACACGAATGCTTTCGGCCACTTTTCCTAAAGCAGATTCTTTGTCTGCCACGCCTAGCTAAAAGCCATCCAGCTGTCTATTCTACCGACATGTATAGATAAGGGAATCAAATGGAGATAAGGATGATCGACTCCAACCCATTCCGGACACGCCACCTGTCTCGCAAATATATCCCTTGTATTATTTTCTTTTCTATATAAAGGGCATCCTCACCCTTGTTGAGGCAGAACGAAAATTTTAGTTTTTCAGTTTTAAAAGCTTGTCCTCTCTCTCTCTCGTCAGGTGTGCTCTTGTAATATTATCTTCAAGTAATCAATAAAGTGTGCCGTATTGAGTAAGTACTGTTTGTAAGTATTCTTTTCTACTTTATTATGCATGTCTGAATATATACTGATTATATTAAATGATATATTAGCATATCATATAAATCGAAAAAATAATCTTTTCCAAAACTTCCTGTCAATCTGGCCTAATGACCCTTGGGGTTTACAACAATTAGAAGAAATTAATAAATTAATTGAAAAAACACAATTACAAATCCAGGAACAAATCTGTTTGCTCATAGCGGCCGGTAGGCCTCCACCTCCTTCTCCAGCAAATTAAGACATGAGACCATATATGGCATAATTAATCTAAAATAAAATAAAACTATAATTTATAATATTCTTGGGTCAGTGCTTAGTGATGGTTAGTACAAAGTTAGGGTTAATGGGACGTCACCCAAGTCACGTAGAGTTTGACCGTTAGCAGTGATTGCGGTTAGGTCTTGTCTCGTAAGTCGTTGACAGACGTGTTAGCCATAACCTATGCAAGCATCATAATTGGTATCAGTATAAATCAAGACAATTTTTAATGATTATGTGAAAGTAAGTTGGCATAGATATTTAGTTGATTAATTTCTAGGTCACTTCTAATGTTTAACTCAATTCTACCACCACAAGTCAATTTTAATTTATTCTAATACAAAAGTTATGATATACGACAAATTATAATTTTGATATATGAGTAAACAAAATTTTAAGCTTTACAAAATATGAAAAAAAGAAAAGAAAAGTATATTGACAACTGTGAGAAATTTTTAAGCCACTCAAACATTTTCTTAAAAATAATTTTAAATAATTATTCCCTTTGAATATTTTGAAAAAATCACTCAATAATTAACTAGTGCAAGTGGAACCAGAATGATTATTAAATATAAACTTTCCGAAGTTCTTATTTGTAACCAAGGCATTTTTGTTTGTCCACTTCATTTGTTCTAATCAGAAATATGTCTCAGATATTAATTTTAAGAACACCATTTTTATGTCTTCTTCTGCCTATTGAGAAAAATTAATTCTGAAGGCATTCATACAACCATCAGAAATCAACATATTATTTTTGAATTCATAATTGAATCATATACTAAAGAATTGGATCAAATAAAAGATTTAATAATTTATAAAGAAAAACAATTAAATTTTTTACAAAAAGAAATATAAATTCTTAGTATTGAACAAAAACTTCAACAAACATCTTTACAGAATAAAATAAAAATAATTGTTTCAGAATTCCAAACAGAAATTTGTAGTGATATTCTTAATGCTTTTTGGAATAGGAAAAAAAAACATATTGTCACTCTCTCATATGAACCTAATATCGATGAAAGTCTAAAACATTAATAGAAGAAGATCTTCTAATATTTAAATCTTTCATTTTGGTAAGCAAGGAATTAGCAAATCCTTCATTTTTAAAGGTGGATAATAATTTAAAATTAGAGCATCCCTAGCAGATGCCTTAAAATAGTTTTTTTGCTATTATAAGAGGTTGATTCTTCAAAAATTCAATCCCATCAGATCCCTTATATGATCACTTAAATTTAGGATTGCTACAGTGACTTCCTATTTGTAGGGAGTCACTGTAACTCCCTCATATATGATAGATTCTTATTTTATTTCGTTGAAAACACGAACTCAGTAGCCCAGACGAAGGGCCGGACATCCTGGCGGACAACCGGCTAGAGGTCCAGGCGGATGACCTTTGTTTAATTCAGCGATATTCTTCTTTTGGTATTCTTCACACTGTGTTCTGGTATTCTTCGCTTGAAAAGGTTACACATTTTCTGGTATTTTTCTTCCTTCAATATATTGAGTAGAGGATATACACTGTATCCTCTATACCCTGGTGATTGAGAATACAGTGGTGATTGAGAATACACATTGTGTATTCCTTCAATATATTGTGGTGGTGTGTATTCTTCTCCCTTCATAAAATATTCTTCTTACTCTACTCAGTATACTAGAAAAATATTTAATATTCTTCTCATTCATTATTTTATTGTTAAAAAAATTTAAATTTAAAAATAATTGAAAATATTATTTTAATGAAATAGAGAAAGAATATAAAGTTTGATGGAAAAAATAAATAAAAAAAAAGGAAGTTCGTAAAGTAAGGAATAAATTTTTTAATAATATTTAAAAAAAAAAATTATGTAAACTTTGAGGATGCTCTTAGAAATTGCGACAGATGGTTTGAGATTAACATGTTGAATAGGCGATAACAAGATAGAAAACGCGTGAATCTGTTCACACACCAGCTACCACAAAGTTGAAAAAAAAGGCAACCAAAACCCCATACCCCCTCCCCACCTCCACCATATCATCTTTTTTCTCTCTCGCTCTGTCTCTCTCAAAACTCACACTCTCCACTCTCTCACCACTCTGCACTTTCTCTCTCTAAACCACCATAACCATGGCAGTGAGCAACAACATAACCTCAGTCCTGAACTTCATAGCCTTCCTCTCCTCCATCCCAATAATCGCCTCGGGAGTCTGGCTCGCCTCCAAGCCAGACAACGAGTGCATCCACTGGATCCGATGGCCACTCGTCTTCCTCGGCATCTCCATCCTTCTAGTCTCCCTCACCGGCTTCGTAGGCTCCTACTGGAACAAAGAATGCCTCCTCGCCTTCTACCTCATCTGTATGGCGGTTCTCATCGGGGCCCTCCTCATCATCCTCGTCCTCGCCTTCGTCGTCACTCGTCCCGACGGCTCTTACTCTGTCGAGGGCCGTGCTTTCCGCGAGTACCGTCTCGGCGGATTCTCGGCCTGGCTCAGAAATCACATCACCAATTCGGACAATTGGGGGAAAATTAGGGCGTGTCTCGCTGAGTCCAATTTTTGTGCTAAGCTCGATCGGGAGTATATCTCTGCTGACCAGTTCTTCGCGTCTCGTAGTATCTCTCCTCTTCAGGCAAGTCCTCTCTCTCTCTCTGTTTTTGTTTTGCCGTGTTTGTTTTGTTACAATAAACAGTAGTATGCAACTATGCATTGCCATTATTTTCATGTGAAAAGTGGAGTTTGTGTTTGGTGTGTCCAAACGGGGCTTTAATTGTTTCACACTAGTGGTCAATGCATAGGTGGAAATTTTAAATACACGAGAAAGGTTGTACCATATGAATAAGGTTATATATATTAATTAATGTACGGATTAATATAATAACATAATACTAATTATTATATTAATGTATATATTAATTGATACACGTAATATTATTGGAATCATATGAATTTTTATTATTATTTTATTTATAATTTATAAATTTTTTAATTATATTTGTATTATTTTTAATTATAATATTTTTTATTTTTGTTAATTATGATTAAAAAAAATTAATTTTTTTATTATTTTTAATTATGAAATGCGTATAGTAAGGAATCTTTAAAGAATGTGTATAACAGTATTTCCGATTGAAAAGGGTGCACCACAGTATTTCCTATGCATAGGACTTCGTAAATTGTAGTTTGTAGTACACTCTTGGTCAGTGAACAGTGTCCTCTGATAAAAATGTAGATTTGGTAGTTATAATTTAGGAAATATTTTGTTTGCTTTGGATTTTAATACTCCCTTCGTCCCAAAATATTGGTCCCTTTTGGGGAATTTAACTTTTTTTGGTAGTACACTTATTAGATTTGAAAAAAGTTGATTTTTCAAAATTACCCTTTTGATAGTACATTTTTTGAGAATATCAATGTCATAATTGTACTTTTTAAATTGTTTATTAATTTAAAAGAAGGGCAAAATAGGAAATTTACATTATTTTGTACTTGATTTATAAAGAGGGACTAATATTTTGGGACAATGAAAAATGGAATAAGGGACTAATATTTTGGGATGGAGGGAGTATTCATTTTTCAGACAATTAAAGTTTTTTTTAATTAATTTTTTTAATATTCTAAATATTTTTTTTTAATTTTTAAATGCACCTAACATAAATATATTAAAAGTATAATATTTGTAATTTTTTTAAAGAAAATTCATTAAATACTAAAAATATAAAAAAAAATAAAAATAAAAATTCACTATATTTTTCATATTTTTATATATTTATTTATTTTTTAAAATATTTTTTTATAAATATTTTACTTTTTAGATATATTTAATTAAATACATCTAAAAAAGTTAAAATTACTTAAAATTTAAAAAATATTCACTAAAAATAAAAAAATACGAAAAATAAAAAATTTAATTTCTAAAAAATTGAACCCAAATATATTAAATACTTTTAATTTAAAACAATTTCTCTTGAATAATAATTTTTCTTATAATTTATTTATTTATTTTTATATAAAAATAGTATTTGGATATATTTTAAAATCTTATTTGAAAAAAAAAAAAGAAAAAATGACGCGGTTGTGTAAAATAGGGGTGGTGTGATGTGGTGGCCGGTAGTGATGTTAGATATAGGAGGTGGGAGGTGGGCTAGAGTGGGTCGGAGAGAAGTCATGAATGGAAATTTGCTTTTAAAATTACAAAATTAATCTTTTTTAGTAACAAGAATTTAGTATAATAAAGTTTCTAAAGTGTATATAATTTTTTAAGAATTAAAATTGATATTAAACTATTTTTTTTATAATTTTTATAAATATAAATAACAAAAATTATGGGGAAAATTTAATTTAATTTCATTGTAGAATTAAAAAAAAGAAGTTACAAGTAGGTAATAGACTTTATACACATTAATAATTAAATTCATAAAATTTATACACATTAATAATTAAATTCATAAATTTTATTATGAATCTGTAATAATTTTTTTAGTAATATCACTCTTTAGTAATTTTGGAAAAATTACTAAACATAAAAGTTACCAATGTGGTAAATTTTCATTAACACAGACAGTGGAATAATAATCCAATAGAGCAAATAATTTTTCATTTCTCATTGATTTTTTTTTTTATTTTTTATTAATCTATGATCTATGATATTAGAATAAAACTCAACAAATTACAATAATGTTAATAAAAATAAAATATAACATATAATTAATAAAAAAAATCTCAAATGAGAGAAAAACTCTAATAAATACACGGGAATATGAAACAATAAAATATCGATAGTGTTACATGTACCAATTAATATATTAATTAGTGTACTAACATAGTTATGACATTATAATTTTAAAACTATGACTCTACCCGTTATACAAATTTATAAAGAATCAAAATTTCTAAAATTATGTCATATCATCTGTTGGTATGTTAATTGAAATACAATATAACATTATTCATAAAATATAGATGTTCTAACCAAACGGTTATATTTGTAGTCTATTTCACATTCCACACCACTATACATTCAAAAATTTTATTTAAAAATATTATTAGATGACTCATGTTCTATATATAGATTCGTTTGGCACGAAGGTTTAGGTTGGGTTGGGGCTATTTATTTTTTTTTATAAAAAGATAAAAAAAAATAAAAAATTAATAAGATAAAATGTTACATTTAAATCATAATTAATTTTTTTTTTTACAAAAGTCAAAAAAATTAAAAGGTCTATCCCAAACGAAGCCATAAATCTCCCGCTATATTAATTCAATTTTTATCAAACAAACACATTCATGGTAAAATTTTGAAAAAATATTCTGAACAATATTCTTGGTTCATAGCATTTTCTTTTCACATTTAACACGTTAGAAAGGAGCTATTTATACTCTATCTATATTATTATATAAATTGTGGGCATTTGAGAAGTTGTTATTTTAGTAGGTTATAATTTTTGTGTTTGGAAAGATAGTTGAATTTTTTTATAATTGGATATATGTTTGTGAGAAAAAATGAAATGATTATGGGTTTGATGTGATATTTTAGCCTATTTTATTTTTTTTTGTGAATTTTAACAAAAAAAAAAAAAAAAATTAAAATCCAACTTGCCAAACAGGCACAACTCACTTGGTGTTGGTAGGAATACTTCTTCACACAATTTCGATTTGTAAAATACCCATAACTTTTATCTTGCCCAACAACAGTTACTAAGGATCCATATTTTTTGCATATTGAAATGAAAGTAAATAATTAAAAAATTAAAACTAAAAGTACAATTCTTTATTTTTCAATAATCAAAATTTTAAAATATATTTAAAGTATTAAATTATTTTTATTTCATAATGAAAAATAATACCAAACAATTTTGACATAAATTTTCAAAACAACAGAAATTATAACCACTTTTACGAGGTGCATCAAACGGCGGCTTGGTCTTCTCCATCCTGTCTTTGGACAACATCTGACCCAAAGTTGCATGAAATTTCTCAACCTCAACCATTGTCCTAGAATGTTGTGTTGCAATCAGATCAGGATAGGCCGGTGTCCAATATCCAAAGTAGGACCCACTTTGAAAAATACAATAATGAGGCATTTGAGTGTACTACCCACCACCATGACGGTTTGTTCTCCAATAATTCAATTCAAGTATGAGTGTGCATATGATCTTCTTAATTTCTATTAATGGTGTTAATTTCACAGATACATTTCTTGGTTTCACCTTGCTTTACTTTTACATGGACATTTTTATCCCCTCTCCCTCTCTCTCTTAATTTTGTTTTAGCATGAAACCAACTGAATGAGTAGTTATTAATCTGATTGGTGGGACAAACTTTTTTTGATGGTTAAAATAATTGAAAAATGCTTGGGAGCACTAAAAATAGAGCACTAAAATGAGCACTAATGATGTGGCAGTGGGCCTCGCCCACTTTCTATGCTTTGTTTTTTTTATTTTTTTATTTTTTTTACCATTCCCAATGCATTAGTGCTATTAGTGATGTATTTTTTAGTGGTCTAAATCATTGTTGAAAATAATTAATGTTGTGTTGCAATCAGATCAGGATAGGCCGGTGTCCAATATCCAAAGTAGGACCCACTTTGAAAAATACAATAATGAGGCATTTGAGTGTACTACCCACCACCATGACGGTTTGTTCTCCAATAATTCAATTCAAGTATGAGTGTGCATATGATCTTCTTAATTTCTAATAATGGTGTTAATTTCACGGATACATTTCTTGGTTTCACATTGCTTTACTTTTACATGAGAGCCCTAATTCTGTGGCTCAAATGTGGCTCAAATGGTCAAAACGACGTCGTTTTGGCCATTTTGATGTTGTTTTGTACTCAAAACGACGTCGTTTTGGCCATTTGAGCCACATTTGAACCACAAAATTTGGACCCTCTACCATTGCTCATTTTGTTTTAGCATGAAACCAACTGAATGAGTAGTTATTAATGGTGGGACAAACTTTTTTTGATGGTTAAAATAATTACCATTACACAATTACATAATCAAATAAATCCAATTAGTGGGCCGACACATCAGTTCCACCCTGTTTAATTCCATGTGCTGGTGGGCCTGTGGGAACATTTCCAACCTCAACAATGATAAAGATTCTTTTTTTAGATTCTTTTTTTATTAATGCTATAGACTCTACACATATATAAGTAAGTTTTATATATATCAATAATTGAGATCCAAAGAGAATTATGAGGTTCTAAAAAAGAGGTTCCAAACATTTTCTTCCAACCTTATGGTTGTCAATCTGTAATAGCAAACATTGTTTTCACTTTTCTACAGATGGTTTAAAAAAAACATTATATGGCTGCCAGCCTTGCCATAATGGCATATAGATATACTCTTGCCGTCTCAAAATATTAGTCTCTTATTTTATTTTTTATTATTTCAAAATATTATTATTATTATTTTTTTTTTCAAAATCAAGGAGTAAAATAATATAAATTTACTATTTTATTCTTCTTTTAAATTTATTAATAACACAAAAAATATAATTATGATAATTAATATTCTCAAAAAAATATACTATCAAAAGGTAATTTTAAAAAATTAATATTTTTTAAATGTAATAATTGTCCTATAAAAAAAAAGTTAGATTTTTCAAAATGAGCTATTATTTTGAGAGAGGGGGGTATATATAGAACTGGGTTACTGTTGCCCCTTAAATGGGGCTCATAGTGACTCCACTTCCACGATTCAAATTGTTAATTTGGTACGATTTGTGAAAAAGATTATTCGTACAAAATGTTAAATTAATTAAATATTAGTAAGTCCATAATTGAGTTACATTTATCTTCGAAAAATAGACGAAAAATGTGATTTTGAAAATATAGACTATCTTTTTTAATGATAAATATGATTTAATCATATAACTATCGATATCTAATCAATTAGATGTTTTGCATAGATGATTTGCGTCATCAACCTTATAAAATGAATAGTTTAAATCATAGACCTTATAAGATGAATAGTTTAAATCATAGACGGGACCGAGTCCCACCTTTTGGCACATCAAGTTTAGTTAGGTAGGACATTAGTTAGGTAGTCATCAATTGTGCTTCTACTTTCTTGCCATCTTTCTTCTTGATAATCATGCATTTGTTTTGTTTGTTTACAGTCAGGATGTTGCAAGCCCCCAACAATCTGTGGGTACCAGTATGTGAACCCAACAATGTGGATTAACCCGGTTAACACACTCTCGGATCCGGATTGCTCTATCTGGAACAATGACCAGAGCCTATTGTGCTATAGTTGTGATTCTTGCAAAGCTGGTCTGCTTGGGAACCTCAGAAAAGAATGGAGGAGAGTTAATGTGATCTTGATTATTGCAGTTGTTGTTCTAATCTGGGTTTATCTCATTGCTTGCAGTGCGTTCAAGAACGCCCAAACAGAGGATCTCTTCCGCCGATACAAACAGGGTTGGGTTTGATCTTGTTCCCAAACACATCCACTTCTCGAAAATTATGGTTTTGGGTTGTTTCACGTTTTCTCTACTTAGTGCAAGTGTCTTTGTCACTTTTGTATATATTCCTTAGATATGGACTGAATTTAAAGACAAGTTGGGTCATCCTTTTAATTTGCATTCTATGTATTCTTTTAGGTAAATTATACTTTTCATTCTCATAGGTTGATCCAAATTTCGTCATGCTTCATCTTGTTTCAATTTGAATAATGTTTTAAGTTCTAGTTTCAATTTTATAATTTTGTTCAAATTAGGGGGTTTGCGTAGATCGTTTGAGGATAAAATCATATTTAAACCGCAGTTGGTGGATTGAAGATTTTTCAAATCATCGCAAATCCACCTACCTTCAAAATCAACGAATTAGTTAAATATTTTAATATTTTCAAATGAGCGGTTTAAGTGAGTTACAAAAGAACATTATTAATGGATATATAACCTTTATTTTTTTTAGTAGATTCAAACAAAAAGCTTACTATTTATTCCAAATTTTGACACAAAATTTACAAATTAATAACATGGATTTTTTTTTCAATAAAAAAAATCATATTTTTCAAGGTTATATTTACAAAATAATCGAAAAAACAAATGTGATGAAAATGGACAAGTGCAAGGTAATTTTACATGAGTTAGGTTTGTCTATTGGTAGATTTTTTTTTGATAACTCAAGTATTCGGATTGCATTGCGTGCACTCGACTAATTTTTATAAGGACTAATAGTAATTTAGAGGTTTTGAATCTAAGATAAAAAAAGGAGTAAACTCGTAAATCCCAAGTCTATACCACTAGATCAACCCATGAGACTTTGTCTATAGGTAGATTAACAAATTTTAATATATAGGTCAATCAATTTGCCAAATTTTAACATCTAACTTGTCCACCCAAGCCGCTCTCCTTAAATCACATGAGTTGATTTGGATTTATTTGGGTCGGCATGAATTGGTAGCTGATGATATTTTTGCATATCCATAATTCAAATAACTCTTCATGTGTGTTAATTGTGTTAAAAAATTATCAATTTTAGCGTCTAATTTAAATAATATAATAATTAGATTTAAAATGAAAAGTTAATATTAATGAAATTAAAACAATAGTCAAACTATACAAGTGTGAGAAGTGAAATTTACACTTCTTTTTCTTATTATACCCACAAAAGTTATTAATAGAATTCCAACAATAAGAATCAGCTTTGGGGAAGGAGTATTGCATTCTTCTAGTTAGTGAGTGGTGATTTTAGTTTCTTGGATTCTTCTGTCTGGTGCATCTTTTTGTATTGACAATTTGTTGCGACTTAGGGAGAAAGAGGTAGTGCATGTGTAGTAGCTTTTATATAGTGCTCCTCAACAGTTTCTTAAAACTTTTAAAAATTCACATACTGAGGCACCGTCACCCACCGACTGTCGAGCAAATATTTTAAGGAAAAATTGAAAATATATGGAATAGTTACAAACTAATTTTATTATAATTTTTTTTTACCGCAATCCTTAGGGTTTACCATGCCTACATAAGAGTTGCCACCATCACGAAAATTTAATTTTTTTTCCACTACGTTGAAATAAAATTTTATCATATTTTAATACTATTTTTTTATTACTTAATACTATTAATTATTCTAGAATTTGTTAGGATAAATTACAAATATACTCTTTCAGATTTGTTGTGATTTAAAAAATTACATTTTATCCCTTTAAATTTTTAATTACATAATAAATGACTTATTTTATTAATAAATCATTAAGTTAACTAATAATTTTAATGATATTAGAAATATATTTCAATTAATAATTATGACAATTTTATTATTGTATGGGAAAGTAGCTAGGATATTATTTTCTCTGTTAATTATGTTAAATACAAATTTATAACAAAGAGTATTTGTAGTTTCTAAAATTATAAATAACAATTTATATTTTGAGCAAACTTCAAAGGATGTATTTGTAATATGTGGGTTTTGATTTTTGACCACACAACCAAGAGGGGGAACTCAACTAGAGAGTACTGACAGAATAGATTAAGCCCAACAGCTTGCACAAAAAAATAAGAATCCGGTGGTAGTTCGTCCACCCGGGGCACTCCGACGATCAAGTCAGTAATCAATATCTCTCAAAGATAGTAAATTATGCTTAAACTCATAAGAAAGAACATATATCTGACCCACGAGGGTGCCTTACTTTTATAATGTTCAGTGTCCAACTTCCCCTAGAAGTCTTACTTCATAGGAAGGATAACATCTATCACAATTCACACTATTCAAATTAAGATGAACTCCCTCAAGAGTCCCATCTCTATCCAAATAGGTAGCTTGATGTCATCTAGGATTCTAGTCCTCTATCCAAATATCTAGGATTCTGGTATCCCCGCAGAATACCTCGGTAGTGCCTTAAACATCTTGGCAAACATGATCTGCCCACGTGACACCTCGGCTGACACCTCAATGTCACTTTAGCCACGTGGCATCATCTCAAAATACTTCCTCACAACTGCCCCCTAAGTTCTATTACCTTGGCAATCTGAGGTGATAGAACCTGCACCGTTTTATCTTCCAACATGCTAGAGATACTTTTCCGACCGAGATCATGACTCGTCGGCGTAGTAAAGCAAGGACTCAAATGTTCACTTGTCAAGAACTAAGAATCAAGAACCATCATGTTCTATTTCATCCAAGTCCAACATCTCAACAGAGATCACACTACTAGTAGAGATCATGATTCACTAGTTCAAGAACATCAAGACCCTAGTATCAACTCATCAGGAACCAAGAACAAACAAGTTTTGTCCCATCTAAATTCAACATATCAACTGAGATCAACATCTCAACCAAGGTCGCTTTTACGGTAGTACTCCTCTCGGCTACCTTTCATGTTCCCTTCTCGGCCTTTGACACATTATTCGCCTCAGGATTCATTTCTTGCACTTTTCCGTTATGGTCCCCTTCTTCAATGTTAGGATCCACATGCTCCTTCTCCTCACTATGGACATCACTCACAATCCTCACTTCCTGTCTGTTGTTAGCCATCTATCCTTACTAAGTTCCCACAGACGGTGCCAAATTGTAGGTGTTGATTTTTGACCACACAACCAAGAGGGGAAACTCAGCTAGAGAGCTGTAATAACCCTGACTCATGATTAACGTAATTCCATGATTTAATATGTCTAATAAGTTATTGAGATCAAATTCTGAATTAATTGCATGTGTGATGTATTATTTGTACTTTTATCTGTCTTTCGTAGGAAGATTTATTCATGTTTTCGTTTCGGTTTGCGAATTGAAAGCCTTATCGGCATCCGATTCAGAAATTGACTTGATTTATGTGTTATTTGGGATTTATAGAATTTTGTGGTAGGTTTAATTGAAATTTGATTCGGAATGATTAAATTAGAATAAATTAATGCCCAATTGATTAATTAATCAACAAAGTAATTAGGCCTTTAGCCAAGCCTATATAAGGCCACCTCAACACCTCATATACACCTTTTGCACTCCCATTTTCTCTTGATTGAGTTCAAACGTGTAGAGAGAGAGAGAGAGACTAAGAGGAGAGTGGCTTCAACATAGGAGTTGATTGAGAATTTAGAGATTTGGCTAGGAATTTCAACCAAATAACTCTAGAGAGACAATAGTTGAGCATCTAAGGTAAAAAATCTAACCCTTAGTTGTGTAATTGAGTTAGTTTTTGTAAGAATTCAAGTAAAAGAGGTGGACTAACATGAGAATAAGCTAGGATTAAAGAATTATAGCTCAAATCATACATGTATGTGCATATCATGAAGTTTTGAAGTTGTTTTTACAAGAATTCTCACATGCATGTTCATATCTTAGTTTTGTTCAAAGAATTCAACTTGTTTTTGGGCTTAATGACTCATTTGATCATGTTTTGGAAGGTTGGAATTCATGTAATCGCATACAAGTTATGTTATCTAAGTTTCAAGTTTTGTTTACTGCAATTGGCATAGCTTTTGGGCTTGATTTTGAAAAACAATTTGTAATTCATCATGTACTATGAGTTTCTCAATGTTTTACTAAGTTTTGGTCTAAAAGGATGTGTTTTGAAGATTTTGAAATTAAGTTTTGAGCTTGGGAGCAAATCTGGAAATTCCAGAATTCTGCTCCTATGCTTAAGCAAAGGAATCTACGCTTGAGCGACCACTCTGAGTGCGTGCACCTCCGCTTGAGTGACCAGAAGTCCACTCGAGCGCGAAATGCGTGCTCCTAGAAGTTCTTTTGTTTTGCAGGCCGCTTGAGCGACAAAAGTTGCGCTCGAGTGAGGGCATGTCTCTCACGCTCGAGCGAGCATCGAGCGGAAAAATCAAGTAACCAGCACTTTTGCAAAAGTTTACAGAGCGCTCGAGCGAGGACCCTAGTTTTAGCAAGTTTTGTTAAGTGTTTTCAAGTGCATTTTTACATCCTCATTCCATCCTATACATTCCTAGGCCATGATTAAGGCACAATAATGAGGATTAAAGTAGAGACACACCAAGATAAGAAAAAACAAAGTAAATGTTTCCGGGTGTGTAATTCAGTATGTATTTGTTTTGTACCTGTGTAAGTCACGCGCTGCAAGATATCTGAATTGCCTACTCTATTCGTCTGTTTGGAGCCATCTATTATTTGTAAGTAATAACTCTATAAAGTTATGTTAGACTTTGATTATTTTCTGATGATACAACATGATTAGTTTTCTAAAATGCTATGTTTTGTGTGAATGAATAATCGTCCAAGTTTCTGAAATATACTCGTGGCATCCATAGCATCATGTGATATTTTGTGTCCCTTTATGGGTCATCGGAATGCCTTTACAACCGTCCCTTTATGGGTCATTAGAAACGTCTCTGTGCACATGAGTCATCGAAATGCCTTATGGCTGTCCCTTTATGGGTCATCAGAATGCCTTCACGGCTATCCCTTTATGGGTCATCAGATTTGTTAATGCTAATGGATATGCCACATACTATGATGTGAAATGTATGAACTTTGAAAATGAATATGAACATGTGTATGAATCTGTTTCTGATTTGAAATCTGAATATGCATAAGACTCTGTTTCTGATATAAACTCTGATTTCTAACTCTATAATGGACATCATTCATTAAAACCCCTTTACTTTGTTATTATTCACTGGGCTTCCGTCCACTATTTATATTTTATATGTAGGTGACCAGGCGCGCAACCAAGCTTA